ACGGAGGTTCTTACATGCATCACATCAAATGTTCATTTAAATTCTTCTATTTTTATCGAAGGCCTATCACAAAGATCGAATTTTGTTAATGATTAAGGGTAAGACATTTTATCTAAAAACTTAAACTTTACATGCATAAATAACACAAGTCATTTAAGTTATAATCTATTTTTCATTTGAGCACAACGCACAAAAAGGAAAATTTGAAGCATTACCTTGCTTAAGTAATTTTTTTATTTTCTAAGTACTTTCTAGGTGTTAAAAAAATAAATAAATTGGTTGTAATCCAACTTATATCATTATTTCATTTTGATTATCCAAAATTATTTTGTTTCCAATTAGTCTCTAATCTTTTATTTTGTTTCAGTTTAAGCTATCCGTCTCAATTTGCTAAATTACCAAAAAATAATGTTTTTGTCGCTAATGAAAAAATATTTATGTTAACATAAAAAATCCATCAGGGCATTGATTTTATCCCCAGGATTTTAAAAAAAAAAAATCCTTGAAGATTTTTTCTCTTTCCTTTTTCCTTTCATATTATAATTGCTATTTCTTCAAAACAAGGTGCATTTGAAAATGCTACTAAACTAACAACATGTGTTTCTGCATTATTAAACAATATTTTAAAAACCAACTCACCTATTGATTCAAAAAAGAGAAAGGGTCAAGAATCAAAAGATTGAATCTGGATCGAACCCGCGATTTTTAAAAAATTAAAAAATATACTTTTACAAAAATTAAAAATATACACATATAAAAATTTTAAAAAATATACATTTACATATGTTGAGCTGGTTAAACCGGGAATGGGTCACGGGTTTTCCAAAAAAAAAAAAGACCAATTTAACGGATTTTGGAACGGGTTTTTAATTAAAGTTTTTATAAATCTAACCAAACCAGTTTTGATCCCAGTTCCCGATTTTTTCGGTTGAACCGGCTGGGCCGGACCAATTTTTAAAACACTGCTATTAAATTATCAAAATAGTAGACTGTGTCATTTTATCACTTGATCATATGAATATATTTTTGTTTTTAAATTAGAGTAGAGAAAACTCACTTCACGTATTTCTCATCAAATTGTCAAAGTGGTACCTCATATCCCGCCACTCAATTCAATATGAAAATAAATAAATTAATAAATATCTTAGACAATTTATTTTGTTCCATTTCCCACACCAATAAAAGTAATATTAAAATTTTTCAATTTAGTGCTATTTAAGTAAAAAAAAAAAAAAATGAAAAAGAGATCACAGGAAAAAAATTGTGACAATGGAGCATGTATTTTTGCCCAGGAAAAAAAAAGGTAAACAAAAAAGAAAAAAATTGGGATTGAAACCATTCAATTCGCAAATTAGAATAGAAAATCGAACTAAAATCGATCGGTTCTCTATACAGTGTCCCAAAACCTACATGTTGCCTATAGGAATTGGTGCTAAATCAACCGATTCAATCTCAGGTCTCATGACATATTGGTCTTCCCATCAAGTTATTGCAGTCAATATTCCTAAAGTTTAGTTATAACAAGAATCCGATATTCAATAAACAACTTGTTGAATACTTTTTTAAATACATGAACTATCTATTTTCATGGAAAAACTTTGGCCTAAATATTTAAGATGTCAAGGATTAAAGATTTTTAACACGATTTCTCACTTCCACGTTCAATTTATTTATTTATGAAATGCCTCACAATTAATTTATGTATATACAAGTAAAGATGAATTGGAACTAAGACAATGTATCTACTCTCATGTCATATTGAACGGCTTCATCAAAATTAAAAGGGTTCAAAAATAAATATAAATAAATTTATATTTTCGATTAAACAATTAATAACACATTTGTTACGCAATCGACGACTTTATTGATATGTATGTATACTACACATCCAACTAGAAAAGTTCGGAAAATAACATTGTACAAGTGTGACATTTATTCTTGGTCTTCGGACCATTTAATTTCCACAAAGTTGAGCATATATACAAAAACATCAATATCAAATTTGAAAATTCCCATCCACATGCCAAAGACCTTTTAGGCTGGTTTATTTATTTAAATGGAGATTCTAACATGCCTCACATCAAACTTTCATTTAAATTCTTTATTTTTATCGAAGGCCTACCACAAAGATCGAATTTTGTTAATGATTGACAGTAAGACATTTTATCTCAAAACTTAATTTTAAATGCATAAAGAACACAAATCATTTAAGTTATAATTTATTTTTCATTTGAGCACAATACACAAAAAGGAAAATTTGAAGCAATACCTTGCTTAAGTAATTTTTTTTATTTTTTATTTTTATTTTCTAAGTAGTTTCTAGTTTCTAGGGGTTAAATATAAATAAATTGGTTGTAATCCAACTTGTATCATCGTTTCATTTTGATTATCCAAAATTATTTTGTTTCCAATTAGTCTCTAATCTTTTATTTTGTTTCAGTTTAAGCTATCCGTCTCCATGTGCTAAATTACCAAAAAATAATGTTGATGTTGCTACTGAAAAAATATTTATGTTAACATAGAAAGTCCATTAGTGCATTGATAAAAAAATAAATAAATTCCTTGAAGACTTTCTCTCTTTCCATTTTTCTTTTATATTATAATTGCTATTTCTTCTAAAAAAAAATGCATTTGAAAATGCTACTAATCTAACAAGTGTTTTTGTGCTATTAAATTATCAAAATAGTAGACCGTGTCATATTATCACTTGATTCAATAAATTAAAAAAAAAAAAAAAAAATTTTGTAAATTTATTTTGTTCCATTTCCCACACCAATAAAGGTAATATTAAAAATTTTCAATTTAGTGCTATTTAAGTAATATATATATAAGGGAAAAATCCATAAATAAGGTGTATTCTTTACAC